AATCGGTTAGAATTTTATGCAAATCGTATGCAAATCGTGGCTTGCCCTGATAGCGCAAAGTCTTCATGGAATCGTGACGCAGGAAAGCAGAACGAAGAATTCGTTTGCTGGTGACGTTTGAGAATTTATCGGAATTCGCACGTTGGTGTACGGTGGAAAGTGTGGCAGTGCGTTCAACCTATTGTGAAATTCACTGTGACTTGTGCGCGCAGGATATCGCCTTGCAGCGAGCGGGCGGACAGTAGGGAACAAGCTGTGAACTAACTGTGCGCTACGCGCCGGCTGTCGAGCCTCGAGACGCATCTGCCAGATGCTGCTTCTCATTATCTCAAAGGGATTCGTTTACCCGTATCACTTTCTCGCTTCGGATGAAACACGCTTGGGAATGTGTCCACCAATCCCAACTTTATTGAATGGCAGATGCACAATGCTGTTTGAGGACTGGTCTTGTCGTTTAAACTTTGTCTTATTTCATATAAATATCATTCTCGTAATATTACGTGTACTGTATTAAGATATTTATCAAACGTGGAAGAAACTTGAAAGATTATTAATCGTACTGTTATTGCGACTCTAATGATAATACTTCGATACAAACGTGGCGCACAATCACATTGTCTATTCGTTACTTACAGAGTAAAGAAACTCCACATTTACTTTCATAATAGTATTATCCATAGGTTCATCGTTAGACTGCAGGAATATGAGTATTTGTGTAAGTCCACAAAACACAATGAAAAAGAAACATTAAGAAGAAGAAATTCTTCTACATTAATGTTACTTTAATAGAACCTTTAACGCTAGAACTACCAAAGTGATCAAAATGACCGGTTGGTAGACTTTAATAATGATGATTAAGATGTTACAAGAATTCAGTTTCTCAGATCTTTTACAGCTTTTAGTGCAATATGAAAGTGAAGAAAGTAGTTAATTTATAAGTTTGTATATTTTCAAAAGTTTTGTCATGTTTATTTATCTGATGGAAATGAGATATGCGTTTATCGTCGGTGTTTATAATGTTAATAGACAAAATAACTTTTTCTTCTATTCTTGAAACTGGAAAAGTGATATTGGCAAATGTATTGTGCCCGCTCGAATTTGGACTGTCGGCATTTTTTCATTTAAAGAAGTGATCTTTTTTGACCAAGAATTTATGTATATACACTACGTGACACAACTATAAAACCACCCTAAAACTCTCAATCCCTATTTATTGTGATTAAAATTAAAATAAACCATAAATCAATTTCAGAATAATTTCTTCAGAAAAGGGTAAATTAGATTCTCTATAAAAAAGTAGATAGTTTTTATTTTAATCACAATACCTAAGGATTAAAAATTTTAAGGTGGTTTTATAATTATGCCACGCAGTGTATATGTATAACGTATGCACTGCGCTGAATTTCGAGTTTAGTCAATGTCCCAAAAGAGATCCTCCCAGCAGCCCAAAGAATAACTCGAACAGTGTCGCATTTTATATTACCATAATGTCACACTTGAATAAACACGTCAATCAAAAATAGTATCAAAAAAGTCATGGTCGTATAAAAGAAGAATTATTATTGTAGTATTTCCATACTTTAACCTAATATTTAATAATTTCTATAATTTGTCATAAGCCTAAAATATCGTGATAACTGATTTTTTTTTTTCAAAAAAAAAAAAAGCGCACTTTAAATATGTCCACTTGTGAGAGAAACGAACAGCATATACTGGTTTTCTCCGAATGCTCACAGTTCGAACGAGTGGCAAAGACAGCTGATCGCAGCCTGCCGCATGCGATCGCGGGAAATCAAAGTAGCCTCTGATAGGCCGCGATACGCTTTGTTATTACGAGCGGGAGTCAGTGATTCGACGGGCTCGGCCGAGCCTAATGCCCGCCGCGAGCCAGGCGAAATCGTGGTCGCCGCCGCCGCTTCGTTCCCTCGATATTCCGCGTCAGGCCTCCTCGGCAGCAGCATCGTTGGTTTACCCGGTGTAGTAGTTCGCGATCCTCGGGAGATACATACCTCGATCACACGCCGACCGACCGACCCTTAAATAAAACGCCAAGCCACACTCGGAATTCCGCGACTTCCAAAGCGGTCAAATCGTTCACCGATCGTGTCTTACTTCGACGCTCGACGAATGTTGGTGAAACGTCGATGTAGCCTTTTTGTTGAACCGGATCGAGAATCGACAGGAGTACAGTGACACTTGTATGGATCTTGAGATAATGAAACTGTGAACACTGTTGTGCTGGAGTTTTCTGTGCGAACTATTCAAACTGGGAACAATGATTTACCACAAACCGACGGTGCCGCGGTTTCGTATCGCCGAGCGTGTCAGCGTGTCGCCGCCGAACAATCGGCCGATTTATAGTAAACAGAACAGCAACAACAGCACGTGCAGCTTGAGGAGCGCCGGGTCTACGCAGCTTTCCATCAATCGGTACATGTGGAATTAATTTTTGTGCTTTTACGGTTTTCTTTGGGGAACTTTAGGTATATCGAGGGGAAATTTAGTGATCTGTGAAGGCGTTAAGTTTAGTTTCTTTTGTTGATATTCAAGGACATGCACTGTGAATACGCCGTACACGCAGCTTTCCATCAATCGGTACATGTGGAATTGATTTTTTGTGCTTTTACGGTTTCACTTGGGGAACTTTAGGTATATCGAGGGGAAATTTAGTGATTTGTGAAGGCGTTAAGTTTAGTTTCTTTTGTTGATATTCAAGGACATGCACTGTGAATACGCCGTTTATATTTTCGTGGGTTTAAAAGGCAGCCACAGGCCTCTTGTTTATCCTTTAGTTTAATAATTGTCTGTTTTTAATAGTAGATAAGTAGGATGAAAAAAAAAACATTTTTGGAGTCAAAAAAATGTGGAGATACGGGCTTATTCGGAGTGGTGGTGTGCGGAATACGCCATCCGTGTCCTTGAGGGTTAATAGGGGCTCTGGTAATGTTCAAACGATAAGGTTATATGTTTGTAGGAATTTTGTGCAATTTACTACTTCAGTTTCTTTTGTTGATAGGGGCTCTGCTAGTGTTCAAATGATAAGGTTTTATGTTTGTAGGAATTGTGTTCAATTCACTACTTTAGTTTCTTGTCTCAATTTAGGGGTAATTAGATTTTACAAATTATTTACATATGTCTACTTAATAGATATCGTTTAATGCTCGGTTTTTAGTTTAATTTTCGTTTATCTCGTAGAATTTTTTGGAGCGAACTTTTGATTATTTCTACCGTACGAATACTGTTGTTGCTCATCCTATGGAAACCGTGTAATGTATATTAGAATCGTGTTTATGGAAAATTTGTCTTACCACCGTTTAGGACACTTAAATTTAAAAAAAAAATTAAATCCATTATACTTGCTGCTTTACAACGTATGAGTTTAGCTTGTCAAATTATCAAATTTTATGCTTATGAATTTGTTTACGTTTGACACGTTGTTCTTGCGAATGTTTACGTTTTTATACCTTGAAACCCGATAATTGCGATCTGCGTATTCACAATACGGGGACCGTACCTCATAAGAACAATATTTCTACTCCAAAAAACACTATCAGGAAAATATATGAGTTAAAATAACTTATAAGTACGTTTGAAAATTTCATACTACACAAACTTTCAAGTATAACGTAAGAATAGTTACAAACAATACGCTGATATTATTTTCGAAGACTCAATTTTTTCAAATTCTTCTTTTATAAAATTTTTATTTACAGTTAATAACATTTCCATAACATATCTAACTCTGTATTATACTTAAAAAAAGGACAGATTTTATTCAAATTTTCTTTTCAAATCGATTCTACCTTCTCGTCGCTTCTTTGCAATCGTTTTTTTCATGTAAATAGATTCGTCTATTCGGCCTCGTTCATTTAAAACGCGTCACCGAATCATGAACAGCTTCCGCTTCCAGTTCCCGTCAGGCAATCGACACGCGTGCTGATTGTTAGACCAACGACGAACTACGAAAACGAACCTCTGCACAAAAGTATTTTCAGTTTTCCATAGAAACGCTGGTACGATGAACATTCTTGGGGTCGTGAAGCCGCGATGTTTCGCGTAACGGAACGCCAGAGACTCGGAAATATCGAACGTTAGTTCGATAGAAACCGTTCGACACTGACTTGGAAAATGTTAGTAAATCACGCGAGGTTTGTTCACGTGATCGACGCAAAAAAACAGCTACCGTGTGTTGAGCCTTGTAACGTTATTTTGTAAACATGCGAAATATTTTGCGCGTAGGTGGAAGAATATTTCCCTGCCAGTTCGTCGTAACAAAGGCCCTATTGTAGTCAAAACAATGTAAAATTGAATAGTATTGTCTGTAACTTCTCTATGGAAAGACTATTTCCTTGGAAAACGTGGACATTTGTATTCAAGAAATTTTCTTAATTAGTAAATATCTCTTAGAAGCTTTGTCACAAGTAGCAATGTTTATTCAAGACACCGAGAAACTTGTTTAGACCTTTTGAGAAACAACATTTACGAACGGTATTTTCTTATTTTCGTTCTCATTCAGTACACGTAAATTTTTGTTTATGTAACGTTTGAATAAGTATGCAGGTTCAACAAATTTGTGCGTAATAACGTTAAATCGCAACCGTTTGTCATGGTTAATACCCGAAGATTCATTCTGTGGCCACAAAGGATGCGGTATACCTTGGTTTCCATAAATCACGTCTTGCCTGAATAATGACTAGTGTCTCGGTTGACCTTTCCAACCCCGTCGCCCCATCTTGGCAATATTCTAAAGGGAATCTTGATTGCCGTTGACCCCCTAAACGTTTGCCAACGTGGGAATAACGATAAGCCTCGCTGCCAAATAGCTACTTTAAATTTTAAAGTAAATAACACGTGGATCGGTTTAATCGAACGATAGGATTTAGGAGGGACCCTATCCAATTACGTGTAATACCCGACGATTTAAAGGGATTCACGATCATAATCGAGGGATTTACCCGGGTGTTTGGTAACTGATCGTTTGTTTTCTTCCGTGATTACAGCATGAAGCAGCCTTTGGGAAGCAAAGGACCTTCACCTGTTCATATGAGCACACCTGTTCGGTCTGGCATCCAGTCGCCGAAACCCACGATCAACGGATCCGATCCAGTAGTGTGAGTATCTCGATTTTTTGCTGGTTAGTTTTAAACCGAGTAATTAAATTAAAAAACAATGTATCTGGAAGTAATCTGAGCTAGAAAATTCTTTACTTAATTAAATCGTAATTTTTGTAAATGCAGTCGTAATACACCTTGAATTTTCTGAAAAAGTTACGAATATCGTGAACAAATGTTGTAATAGAGATTTTTAGGTATTGATACGATGAATTAGAACTGTCAGAAAATGTTTACTTGAATTTATCAAAATTTGACACTATACGTTCTGGGATATATTGAAACAAAATTTGGAATTGCTCCAGCAATATTGACATTAATAAAGTGAAATTATCGTCTATTTTATCGTATGTAACTGTTGTAGGAGACAGAACTCGGTGTTAAGTACTACCTACGATACCAGAACCCCGGAGAGTCATTACGATGTCGTCAAGCCGATAAAGGTAAGTCAATAAAATCCGACACTGATTATTCCACACGGTTATACATTCTAGGACAATGCTTCATTCAGCGCCACGTGAAACCGCGCTCGGGCTTTTTGATGAGTCCAACAGAGGTACAATTAAATCGCGATTACTCGGCAAACAGAAATATGAAATTGATGATGGCACCAATGGATGTAATTTAATAACAGGCTGTGAAAAACGATACGGAGGTATATTAATGATGCGTAATATATCACAGGAGTATTCTACAATTAAATTTCACTACAGATCAAATTTTTATAAATCAAAAGACTAATTTTTTCTTAACATTTGGTACCTCACCGATACTGTTTACCATTTATAGATACTTGCATATGCATGAATCTTAAAAGTTACGATTCTAAGCAACCGTTAAATCACAAATTTGAAGAATTCGTGAATTCTGAAGTATTAATAAACGATTGGTTTTCGACACTTCCATTGACGAACCTGAAAAGAAAAAGCTTTTTATCGCTCCATTGTCAGCCACGAAATTGGTGTCTGAACGCCATAATTCGGCGGTCGTGAAACCATTGAATTAATATCCAACTTTCTACCTTTTGCTTATTTCTATAACCGTTCATATAAATCCGTGACCCGTTTACAATCGAAGCAGCAATCCATCGTGTAGAAACTGGCTTACCAACAATTTTCACGAATCGTTGCGAACGTTCCGCTCACAACCGCTCATAAAAACCGATTTCCATTTTTTTTTCTTCCCCGCTCCTGTTTCGAACACAAACTAGTAATTTCGGTTATATATGCCACGCAAAATTGTAATTATAATTCGTTCGATGGATAGTTCGCAGTCTACCGGACATACAACATTTTCGACGATTTGCATAAACGTCGTGGCAATTTAACACACTATTCAGAGCAGTAAATTAACACTTGATCGGGAGAGATAGGGTGAAAGTGGCTCAGAACCGGTCAAAAAGGTCCGAAAATCATTTCTGTGACATAAAACAGCCGTTCCCAGAATCGTTTTCTATCGGCGCCGACTTCAATTCCCGTAACCGTCAATTGGTTAATCGGGTGGGGGGGGGGGG